GTGATTAGCTTCTTTTGTGGGCAAGAATTACCCAAGAGTATCACGGCAATATGGGTAGCTCTTATTCCCAAGATTAGCTCTCCTCAAGATTACAGTCAGTTCAGACCGATTAGCCTGTGCAATTTCCTCAATAAAGTGATCTCCAAAATCTTAGCGATTAGATTGGCCAAGGTTTTACCTGACATTATATCCCCCCAGCAAAGCGGCTTTGTTAAGGGTAGACAGATTTTTGATAATGTTCTGTTGGCTCAGGAGCTCATAACTGATATTGGAAAGGCTAGAAGAGGGGGTAATGTTGTCTTAAAGATCGACATGGCCAAGGCATATGATAGCGTTTCATGACCGTTTTTGATCCAGGTGCTGAGACGATTTGGCTTCTGTGAAGCTTGGATTGATATGATTTGGAGGCTGATTTCGAATGTGTGGTTCTCAGTTATGGTCAATGGGTCGCCCCGAGGCTTCTTTAAGTCTAGTCAGGGGATTCGTCAAGGACATCCGATTTCGCCAGCCCTTTTCGTTTTGTGTGCTGAGGTCCTTTCCCGTCATCTAAACTCCTTGGGTAGGCGGCAGGGGTTTGTACCTTTTCGAGTTCTGCAGGGATGCCCGATCCTCACACACATGGCTTATGCAGACAATATCATTATCTTCTCGAGTGGCATGAAAAGGTCACTACAGTTGGTTATGAATGTGTTGGAGGACTATACGTCGATATTGGGACAGAAGGTGAACCATCATAAAAGTGAGTTCCTATACCATGCTAGATTGTCGGATTTGCGGAAGTGTGTTGTACCACAGGTCACAGGGTTTCGGTCCCAGGACTTCCCGGTGACATATTTAGGATGCCCACTATACTCGGGAAGACGGAAGAAGAGCTATTTTGCTGCAATTTGTGCTTCAGTTGCAAGTAAGGTTTTATCATGGAAGGAGCGACTTTTGTCATCAGGTGGGAAGTTGGTGCTATTACGGAGTGTGCTGACATCCATACCGATCCACATTTTTGCTGCCTCCAGTCCTCCGAGAAGGGTATTTGACATGTTCGAGCGAAATCTTAGCTGATTTCTTATGGGGTTCGTCTGATTTTGGGCCGAGGTTTCATTGGATTAAATGGAGTCAGCTGTGTAAGCCTATTGAGGAGGGAGGTGTGGGTGTTCGGTCTCTGCAGCATGTGTTTGATGTCTTTTCTTTGAAATTATGATGGAATTTTAGGCAGCGACGATCTTTATGGGCTGAGTTCATACACTGGAAGTATTGCCCGGATGTGCATCCGTGTTATTCGGATTTCTCCCTAAGGCAGTCACACAATTGGAAAAGGATGTTAAATGCTCAAGTGGTAGCGAAAACGCATATCAGATGGTCGTTGGGTAATGGATCTTCCAGCTTTTGGCATGACAATTGGTTGGGGACAGAGCCAATGTGTAGACAGGTGGAATCCTTTCAGGAGTGCTCGGTTGCAGACTTTGTTGTGGAAGATAGGTGGGATCTGCAGCGCTTAATGGGGTGCTACCGGAGGGATTGGTACAGCAGGTGATAGGGGTGGCTCTCCCTACTACAGCAGAGGCGGATGACATGATCTGGACCCCTACTAGTTCAGGTGAGTTTACTATTTCGTCAGCATATCAGATAGTGCGTAAAGAAGGCACTCGTTCATGCCTATTTACTTCTTTGTGGCATCGGGCTTTGTCTTCAAAAATTTCCTTCTTTATGTTGAGATTGCTATATGGTAGATTGCCGTTGATGGATGTATTACAGAAGTTTGGGATTTTGGGCCCCTCTAGGTGCTTTTGTTGTAATCTGAGCTCGTCCCCAGAAACTATTAACCACATCTTTTATACGGGAGAGGTGGTAAGCAGGTCTGAGGTTGCTTTGAGGGTCTTATTGGCGGGTTTCGTGCGGCTTTCACGGTTAGACATAAGGTAATGAGTTGGTGGGTAAAACCTACGCTTAATAATTACCTTGATTTTGTTCTCTGCACGTTGCCATCGTTAATCTGTTGGAATTTATGGAAGATGCGGAATTTGTGGTTATTTGATGCTAAGCTAGACTCGGTAATGCATGTTTATGATCGGATTTTCTTGGAGCTACGAGAATGGTTCTGTCTTCAGTTTTGGGAGATATCACTGCCTGGTAACTCACGGGTTGGTTTTTTCAATATGATAGCTAGGTTTGCGGAGGAAGTATCTCATACGGGAGGTTTGTTGGGAATCTCCGATGCAGTCGGTGGTGAAATTTAATGCTGATGGTTGCTCAAAGGGTAATCCAGGGAGGAGTGGCAGTGGGGATTTGTTCAGGGATTATGATGGGAAGTTCCTGCTTGGTTTTTCGTGCTGGTTTGGGGAGACTACAAGACTTCAGGCGGAGATGAAAGCTTTGCTTTTTGGTGTGCGGTTAGGTGTGTCCCGGGGATTTGTTAAGTTGCATTTGAAAACTGATTCACTGACGTTGGTCCGTATTATTCAGGGTAAGGTTAGGTGTCCATGGCCATTGTAGAAGGAGTTACTAGAGCTGTAGCGATATAGACGGTATTTTGAGATCGTGTCTCATTGCTTCCGGGAGGCAAACAGACCGGCAGACAGGTTGGCTAATGTTGGCGTTGAGGCTGGGTGTACTACAATTTATGAGCCCTATAATGCATTGCCTCCGTTGGTGAGGGGAGATATTTCTTTAGATGCGTCTGGGTATCCAAACTTTCGTAGATGTCGGCGGTAGGATTTAATTAGAGATGGGGTAGGGTGTGTGATCTTGTATTCCTGGGGAAGGGTTGGCCTCGAAAGTTGTACTTTTTGTGATTGCAGTAATAAAAGATGATATTATGAAAAAAAAAATTATTGCATCGAAAAAAAAATGATTCAAGTAATGGAAACATTCTTTCCAAATTGAGCCTTTTTTTTTTTGTTTCAATAGAAACTTTGTTCAAAAGTAAAGCCAACATAATTTCTATATCCTGGATTTATTGAAGAAACAAGTTCCAATTCTAACTATTCTTATTCTACTGTATATGTTGCTTAGGTTTTTAGAAGGCAAAAGGCACAATTTCCATGTTGGTTTCTACTGGACTCTTCAGATTCAAGAGTTGAATCTTATCCAAATCAACTAAAGAAGTTAGACCCAATTGAAGAGTTCTAACATATCCATACAAAATTAATGACAAGAACTCGCAATTGGTGCCAATTCAAAATTTGGAAAGCATAATTGGATTATGGTGAGCTGTTCACTAACTTAGGGTGCGTTTGATAAAACTAAAATTTGAAAACTAAAAATTGAAATTTAAAATTTGAAGTCTGAATTCATTAAGTTATTAAATTGTGACGCCTCCACCTCTTCCTAGGGCAAACCTTAGGGTATCAGTGGAATGTCTGCCCAACTCTCGTCAGGATTCACGCACTCATTCAAACTTAATAAAGAACCACACGCCAACCATTGATTTAGAATTAAGAAATACTTCAATGTACAAGCCACAACTCCTAAGGCTAGTAATTACAATTACAATCCACCATACCCAAAGATAACAAAATTTACACTTTAAGAGTCTTCAATTTCATACAAAAGATATACTAGCTTCCACCAAAATTAGCTAGTCTAGAATCTTTAACTTCCACCTCCAAGCCCTATTAAGGAAAACAAACTTAAGGGGATGAGTTAACACTCAGTGAGGTCAACAAAACTTAAGCACGCAAACAAGTAGCACCAATCAATCAAATAACATACTTGAAAGCAACTTTAAACATGAACATCCATTTTTGTGCGCAAGTAGGAAATAAACACACATGGAAGGATACAGGAGTTCTTAGGAGCTATTTCCACGTCTCGATCGATTCAAGCTATTTGGGGTTGACTCTCCGTCAACTCGAGAAGTAACATGACTGTAGCGCTCCACTTACTTCCTCCATCCAACATAACAGTCACTCGGATCCGAAACCAAACATTCATGTAGTGGCGATACTATTCGAGTATGCCAAACGAGATCACAAAAGATCAAACTATATCATTTCCTAAGGTTCACCAAACTTCTAGACCAAGCCTTTGCCGACTCGAGTTACAAGGTTAGCCAATGGGTTGGGGAGTCCCTGCAAGCATGATTGGTCGACGAGACAACGCTCCAATCGATCTCAAATCGTTTATAGCACTGAGTCGGGATGATCGGCACCTCCCACCTGAATAGGGTGTAGTATATTCTGCAGCTCAGTGCTTATGAGTTAAACATGTTCAAGTACAAGTGCAAGTCATATACATTCATTTAACAAGTATCATTCAATCAAGAGAGAGAGAGGACGAGGGCGGTAAAGTACACCCTCGTCTCTGCCAGCTCATGTATCATGTAGCACTTGTACAAATATCATTTCAATCATATTAACATTAAACATGCACTTAACTCTCACCAAATTCAAGGCAAAACAAGAGCAAAGCGAGAGGTCAGACAAGCTCCTTGGCGTCCTCGTGACCACCTGAGACATGTACAATCACGATTACCTAGGTACTCGACCAAGGTTAATAAGAAAAACATCTTCTTGCTACCCACTCTCAGAGTCACAAGTTCTAATCAAGTTAAAAAAGCCTTTCTCTCTAAATCATGAAATAATACTCAAAGGAAACTCAAAAGTCATTTTCGAGTCAAGTCTTGGCAAGAACCCTCAGTTCCAAAAGAAAGTACCATATTTACTTTCAGCACGAAAATCGAGAAAAGGGAAGATGGTTTTCATCTCTCAAAACTTCTAATCCTACGCCCAAGTTTTAGAATATAAGGAGCGTTTACATTTTTTAAACTAATGGAGTCAGAATTCATTAAAACTCCATTAATTTCCATAGTAAAATTTAAAGATAAAGATTCTAAGTTTCGAGTATAAACTAGTGAAATTCTCCAAAAATTACTCTAACTAAAATGCTCCATTTTTAGAGTTCAATGTCATGGAAATCAAGGGCATAAGACTAGAGGTTGAAATCCATTTCTCAAGTAAGAATTCAGGTGCAATTAACCAAGAAAGTTAGGCAACCAAGAAAACGCATCAAGAGAAGTTTAATCCTGTGGAAACCAAGATTCGAAATAAAGGTCTAATGTTCAAAGAGATCTTGTATCCATCAATGAAATCAAGCTTAAAATGAACTAACAATCTCAGAGGAAAGTTGAGAGTTCTTAAAAGAGCATTTTGTTTGAAACCAGAAAATTTCAATTTTGTGCGACACCACTTGGAAAAATCATATCTCGGGTTCCATAAGTCCAAAAATTGGAAACTTTATACCGTTGGAAACTAGATCCAATATAATAAAACTCTCTAGAAGACACTTTTCCCAGATTCAAATCCAAAATCATTCAAATTTTAGCTCCAACTCACTGTTCCAGTAAGAACAGAGCAAAACAGTCTTGCATTTTCAGTAAATTTTGAAAATTTGGTAAAATTCATAGAAATAGAATCAACCCTTGAAATTTATACCACTGAAAGAACTCCAAATCCAGTTTCAAATTCAATAAATGGAACTCAATTTGGACCTTTCTACACCAAGATACAACAATTTTTGGAAAGCTGATTTTTGGGACCTGGTTCACGAAATTTTCAGTATTGGAGCACCTGACACAGTTTCAAAATCTAGCCATAACTGAAGCTACACAACTCAAAATTTCGTGTGGTATGCTGCATTGAAAACTAGACTCAAAATTCCAAAATTCACTAGAAGAAACCATCTTAAAATTGGTTTTGTAAGATGGGTGAAAATGAACTACAAACTGCAGCTATGCTTGTTTCTCGAATGAAAACAGTGAGCAAAATTAGTCAAATTTGCCTGTTCACTACGGCTCATAGAAAATGAACTAGAAGGTGCATTTTATACCGTTGGAAAGCCCTCGGAGTTTAGTTTCAGATACTATAATTGGCACTTGATTTTGACTCTTGGACGAAAAGTTATGGGCTGATACGTACACACTGATCTGGTATCCTGATCAGAAATTTTTCAGATTTGCACTCTCACTTTAACCCAACTTTAAATCAACCAAATGAAATGTTTTTTTAGAGATAATTGACACACATAAACACCAACATATAACAAGCATTTTGGCACCAAAATAACCACAAAATTTGAAATTAACATGAGGGAATCAATCAGCAAAATTTCAGACAGCATTCTTCTTTCTTTCTTCAAGTTTTCTTTTCAACTTTTCCAACCAAAACTAAGCCATAATTCATCAAAACAAACATCAAACAAACAACTAAACACACAATAATTCCTCAAGGCCACTACCTAAGAAGTCACCTCAAGACATCTACCTAAAGTCAAGGTTCATTTAACCCATCAACAACCTAATGCTTAACTAGTTAAAACTAACTAAACTAACCATAAGTTGGAAGGAAAATGAGAGCTTTGGGGTGTTACCTTACTTCCAAGAAATGAAGACCAAACCAATAGAGTTTAAGCTATAAACCACCAAGGTTCCTTCCTTCTTCAAGTCTCCCTTCAAGCTTGAGTGATGTTCCAAGAAATTAAGCAAGATTGGAGTGAGTTTTTGGAATAGAAATGGAAGAAATGCTAGCTGAAATTTTGGTAAGAAGATGAGGAAGAGTGGCCGGTCAAGAGGGGAGGGGAAGGAAAGGGTTTGAGTGAGTTGTTGGTGAAGTGATGGAATGAAAGGAAGAAATGACATAAAGGTACTTTGGTACAAAAAATCAACAAACGAATAGTAGGCAATTAGTGCTCCTAATTGAACTTAATTTAACTCACTCACCTCTAATCTCTCAATTAATTTTTTTTAGTCTACTATTGATCATCCTTAATTCTCCAAAACCACTGCACTTTCAAACCGAATTTTGCCTCGAAAAATGTATATTCACTATTTCTCACTAAATGAGTCGTAGAAAAATTAAATTTACTAGCAAACGTTTTAAAAATATAAAATGAGACATTAATCCATGCAAATGAAATTAAAATGGATGAAATAAATTAATTGGATTAAACGAATAAGTAAATAATTAAATAAGCCAATAAAATAAAATAAAAGTAAGTAAAATAAAATTCGGGTCCTCACATCCTTCTCCCCTTAAAAGAATTTCGTTCTCGAAATTCATACCTTGATTCAGAAACAACTCTGGATAGGTCTCCTCTTCTACTTCCCAAATCGCTTCCTCAATTCCATGATTTCTCCATAAAACCTTCACTAACGGAATTTGCTTGCGCCTTAATTCCTTCACTTTTCGATCTAAAAGCTTTACCGGCTTTTTCTCATATGACAAATTCTCATCAATCTCCACTTCTTTTGGTCGTAATACATGGGACAGATCAGGATGATATTTCTTAAGTATGGAGACATGGAAGACATCATGAATCCTGGACAAACTCAAAAGTAATTCCAATTTGTAAGCCACATTTCCTACGCGCTGGATAACCTTATAGGGTCCCATAAATCTAGGTTGTAATTTCTTTCCTTTCCAGCCATTAGACTTACTTTCAAGGGTGTAATCTTAAGGAATACTTTATCTCCAACCTCAAACTCCAAATCTTTTCTCCGATTATCCGCATAACTCTTTTGACAGCTTTGAGTCGTTCGGATCCTCTGACGTATTAATTTCACTTTCTCAAAAGCCTCCTCAATCCAAGGTACGGTAGTCGGGTCCAAAATCTTCTTTTCTCCAACTTCGTCCTAATGAATCGGAAATCGACACTTTCGACCATAAAGAGTCTCGTAAGGAGCCATTTGTATTGAAGAATGAAAACTATTGTTATAAGTAAATTCCACCAACATAAGGTACTGACTCCAATTTTCTCTAAAATTTATAATACACGATCTCAACATGTCCTCTAGGGTTTGGATTGTCTTTTCTGATTGTCCATCGGTTTGCAGGTGGTAGGTGGTACTAAAATTCAGCTTAGTCCCTAAACTCTCCTACATCTTTTGCTGAAATTGAGACACAAATCTAGGGTCCCGATCTGAGACTATACTCACCGGTATCCCATGTAACATTATAATTTCATCCAAGTACAATTTAATCAACTTTTTCAAGGAGTACTTCATACTGATCGGCAAAAAGTGAGCAGATTTGGTCAATCAATCCACTATTACCCAAATAGCGTCATGTCCTCTCTGAGTCCTTGGTAACCCTAATATAAAATCTATTGTGATATTTTTCCACTTTCACTTGGATATCTCCAATGGCTGTAATAGTCCAGACGGTTTCTGATGTTCGGCCTTAACTTGCTGGTAAGTGAGACAAGCTCATACGAATTGGGCAATTTCTCTTTTCATAATCTTCCACCAATAAAGGCTCTTTAAGTCTTGATACATCTTATTACCCCCACGGTGTACCGTATACTTAGAACGGTGAGTTTCGTCCCAAATTTCCTTCTTTAAACCTTCATCTTTTGGCACCATTAGGCGATTTTCAAACTTTGACACTCCATCAGTCCCCAAATTGAAGTCAGACTTTTCCCCCTTTTGAACTTTCTCAATCCATTTTTACACTTCAGGGTCTCCATTTTGAGTTTCTTTGATTCAATCTAACAAGGTGGATTTCACAGTAATATTCCCAAAGATTACTCTCAGTGGCTAAAGACGCGGATTCCAAACACTAATTTCTTCTTGCATGTGCCATTCTTTCACTATTAAACTAGCCACTTGCACCTTATGACTTAGAGTATCTGCCACTACATTAGTTTTTTCAGGGTGGTAGTTAAGTTAACAGTCATAATCCTCCGAAAATTTCACCTATCTACGTTGTCTCAAATTCAACTCCTTCTGAGAGAATAAATATTTAAAACTCTTGTGATCAGTGAAAACCCCGAAACTCACACCATATAGATAATGTCTCCATTTTTTCAAGGCAAATACCACTGCAGCTAACTCCAAATCATTGGTCAGATAATTTTGTTCATGCGGTTTCGACTTACAGGAGGCATATGCAATCACTCTTCCATTTTGCATTAATAAACACTATAAACCATCCTTTGAAGCGTCTGTATAAACCACAAAACCATCTCTTCCGCTCGGCAATGCTAATACAGGTGTTTCGGTCAAACACTTTTTCAACTCTTGAAATCTTTTCTCGCATTTAGAATCCCATATGAACTTGCCATACTTCTTGGTCAACTCGGTTAGGAGTTTTGCAATCTTAAAAAAGTCCTTGATAAACCGACGGTAATATCTGACTAAGCCTAAGAAACTCCGAACTTCGGTAGGATTTTCTGGTCATTTCCACTTAGAAACCGCTTTTACCTTAGTTGGGTCCACAGTAATCCCTTCTTTAGAGATTATATGACCTAGAAAGGCTATTTCTTCCACGTTTTCCAACTTCACCTTATCTCCAGGTGTATTGATAAGAAAGGTTAGATATCCTTTAACTCCACTAATCAACAATTTCCTAACTCGAATTCCCGAAATTAAAGCAGACGATACTAGTTTACCCCTCACATCTAATTTCAAAGTTGCTTCCCCCGAAATGTGCAACTCTACTAATTCTATCTTACAATCCAATTGAATATGGTATCTAACTAACCAATCCATCTCAAATATCACATCATGTCCTTTAATTGTTAGATTCATTAAATCAATCAACAACTTCCTCTCGTCAGTCCAAATCTCACAATTCCTATAGACTTTATTAGCAATAAGACATTGGTTCCCCGTAGGAGTCTTAACTTCCAAATCAAAAGGCAAGAAATCATACTTTACATCTATACTCTTCATAAAGTTAGGATCTACGAATGAATGGGTTACTCCGGGATCAATTAAAACTCTAGCTAGGCGATGAAAAACGGGGATCTTACCTTCCACCACTTCGATTGAGTTAGAAATTTGCTGATTGTCTAATACGTAAACCCTAATTGGCACTTTTGGTTGGCTCCCTCCGGCACTCGACTGCTTTGAAGCAGACCTAGCAGGCTGTTGGGTATTTCTTCCTTCCTTAGAGGCACTAGGGCAACTCGAAATCTGGAACTCGGCGCTACCGCAAATTACACATTTTTCTTGCTTTCTCCAGCATTCGGTTTCAGTGTGGTTAGATTTGCTACAATATTCACAAATCACACGAGGAGTCACGACCGGACCAGTTTGAAAATTCCCTTTTTGCTGATCTCGTCCATTCTGATTTCCTTTTGGCAGGACTCTCCTTGATGGAGCTCCTCCGAATTTTCGGGCTATTCTCCTTCATCCAACCCCTCTTCCTATCTTAAGGGGTTGGGTAGACCTCTCAGACGATCCAGGGGTGTTGCTTGGGTTACACCTCTTTCTAGCATGAAAAGTTTTGGATTGGGACTTAGCATTTTCTACTCTCTGTGCCTTATACAAGACATCTGTGAAAGTTGTGATCTGGGCAGCTGTTAGAGATTCTTAGATTTTTACATTTAACCCTTGAATAAACCTCATTATCATTTTTCGGTCTGTGGCCACAAGTTTAGGGGCAAATTTGAAAAGTTTAGCGAACCGCTTCTCACACTCGGCCATACTTAATAACCTTTGTTTCAACTTAATAAAGTCGTCCCCCCTCTTTTCTTGTATCATAAGCGGAAGGAACTTGGCATTAAACTCCCTCTCAAAATTTGCCCAAATCTAGGGGATTGTTCTCTTTCCTACTTCATCCTAACAACATTCGATCACGAGCATGCCGCTCCCTCAAATTGGAAGACAGCAAAATTCACTTGCCCTTTTTGGCATAATTTAGAGCAGCAAAAATCTCCACCATCCTTTCAAACAAATTTTCTGCTATTTCAGGGTCAAATCCTCCATGAAACCTAGGTAGGGTGAATTTCAAGAAGCGCTCCAGAACTCTATCCTCACCCCTCTCTTGTTTTCTTGGTTGGTTGACTGGTTCAGGGTCTTGGCGCTCAGCTAAATGCTCAAGAACATCAGTTATGCGATTAAGGGCCGTAGCCACTTGGGGTTCATTCCTAGGGTTTTGATTCGGGCCAATCGCAGATCCCTCACCTCTCTTGGGAGCGCGGGGTTGCCGAAACCCACGCCCACGCCCCCGTCCACGTCCTCGCCGATCCATATAGCAAGATTCTAAACGCATAATTAAAAGTGGAAAAGAAATAAGCGTAGAAATTTAAAAATATGTACAAGTTGCAAAAAGACTTTAAGTTCAAAACATAGATCTTTACATAAGTTAAAAGTCATGTCACATGTCAAGAGTGCATACAACAAGTCAATAACATCAAATACAGGACATAGGCATCCAAGTGACTCAAAATGCAAGGGTACATGCAACAAAATACAAAAGCGCTCACAATGAGGTTCACCCCTTCTAAGTCCTAAACAAAAGTCAAAAGATCGGGAGATCACTAATATAAGTGAACCAAACTAGAAGACCATACAGCCTCAGAAGGGTCCTTCTCGGGATCCTCCTCCATCGGCTCCATCTCCACTTCAACAACAGGGGCAGCATCCCCAGGTCCATCTCCAAGCAAAGCCCCCTCTAAACGGTCAGCCATAGTCACACACTCAGCCATAATACCATTCACGAGGTTCCCCACCTCCTCAACAATCCGAATGAGGCGCTCCTCAGTCGCCTGAAATTGACTATGGGAGGCGTCAGTCCTCTGATGCTCCTCAAGTACCCTAACCTCCAACTCCTAGATCCAAGCAGCTTGGGTCTCCATAGTGGCCACCATCTCCTCTCCTCAGCTCGTGCTATCCTGAGGTCACGGATCAATCGTCTCCTCTCTTTGACTATCCCAAACACCACGTGGTTAGAGTAGGAGAATCTCTCTCGGCAACGGCACGTTCTAACCCACCTAGCGGGTGAGTACCACAGGAGAGGTGCGCCTCCAACCATTCAAAATGGAATCATTGGGGGAGGTCCCTCAATCCTATCATCATCACCGCTACTATTCATATCCTACAAATAACCCACAAAACTAAAGGTTAGGTTCTTATAATCATTGATACCATTTAAAAATTTAACTTAAGATCTATCACGAATTTCTATGACCACAAGTTCATGACTAAGAACTCCTAACCCTTTTCCAAGTATTTCAAATCTAGTGCTCTGATACCAACTGTGACGCCCCCACCTTTTCCTAGGGCGAACCCTAGGATATCAGTGAAACGCCTGCCTAACTCTCGTCGGAACTCATGCATTCATTCAAACTTAAAAAAGAACCACACGCCAACCATTGATTTAGAATTAAGAAATACTTCAATGTACAAGCCACAACTCCTAAGGCTAGTATTTACAATTACAATCCACCATACCCAAAGATAACAAAATTTACACTTTAAGAGTCTTCAATTTCATACAAAAGATATACTAACTTCTACCAAAAGTCGCTAGTCTAGAATCTCCAACTTTCACCTCCAAATCCTGTTAAGGAAAATAAACTTAAGGGGATGAGCTAACGCTCAGTGAGGCCAAGAAAACTTAAGCACGCAAGCAAGTAGCACCAATCAATCAAATAATATACTTGAAAG